GGGCAGAGCCAGGCCCTCTCAGGACACACTGGAGCCCTCTCTTCCCCTCTTTGCCCATTCCCCACCATGGGCATCCCATTACAGACGCTGCCAGGGTTTGGGATGTGTCTCCCATGGAGGGACCCCAGCAGGACTGCTCAGTAGCCGAGCGTCCTGAGCCTGCTGGGGATAATTCCTCTGGGCTGTGCCGGTCTTGTCCAGGCTGTGCCTGCGCTGCCATGCAGCAGAGATAGCAGTTCAAGCCTCAGCAGGGCTCAGGCCCAGAGGCACAGCAATTACCTCCTGGGACTGTGCCTGGCATGGCCTCCCTTCCTGCAGCAGAGGCTGCCCATGAGCCACTGCTTCCTCTGGGAAATGCTGCCTTCAGCACAGCCGCTCTGTCCACTTCTGCAGAAAGCAACAGTTGGATCAGATGGCACCATTCCCCACTGGGGAGGTGGCATCTTCAGGAGGCAATGCTTGTCAAAGGCATGGTTAAAGATCAGGAAATCATATCAACTTTTGGCATTGGCCAGTGCCTACCCTCATCTAAAGAGCTGCCCTTTCTGATCTACCTGGGGACCAAGAAATTGCAGGGGATCTCAGTGTGAGCATGACCCTTGCTGCAATTTGGGCTCCCTGCCTGCTGATGCCAAATGCCTTCCTGCAGAGGCTGGGAAAAAGCTGCAGCCGGCCAGGCTGAGAAACAGCTTTGCAGGGCATGAAAGCAGCAGCAGGGCAGCGAGGCTGCCATGGATCCGCTTCCTGCTGTGTTTGGCACTGTGTGTCCAGAGGTGCAGAGAAAGCCCCTGGCTGCTGAGACTCAGGAGAAGGCTGAGGGACATGGACCCACCTTGCCCTCCCTGCAGCATTTCCTTCGGCATTTGCTGACTGATTTTGGATGGCTCATGGGGCTTCCGGTGTCCTGTAGCTGTGTTCTTTCCTCTCGGAGTACCTTAGAGGAAAATATTTCCACTTTGCAGGATCCCAGAAAACCAGTGTTCAGCCTGTGAGGGACACACCACTCACCCCTGCGATGGGAGCCGGGCTGGTGTGCACCAGCCAGCTCAGGAGCTGGGAAAGTCCTCCCTGTAGACACACCTGTAACTAAACAGCCACAGAAGCTTCTCTCATCTCTGCTGATTTGCACAGGCAGCACTGAGCCACAGGAGTGGTGAGGGGATAGCGAAGAGCAAGGGCACACACGTGTATGTCTCTGTTCTGGCACCTGCAGTGGTGCCAGGACATTGACACTGCTTATTCTGCTCGGAAAGGCACATTGAGAACTTACCTCCAGCACTTCTCAAGTGTTTCAAGCCGTCATCCAGCAGGACATCCCGATAATGCAAGTTGCGATTCCAATCTAGAAGGGAGCCCAGATCAGAACCATGCCATGGTGTGCTGAGATCCCCTTCTACTTTTGAGAACTGGGCACAGCAAGAGCGTCGGGTAAGACCATGGGTGCCAAATGTCAAAGGACAATGGTCAAAGCTGCACAGGGGCCAGAGGAACTCTGGGTTGGTGTCTGGTCACTCCCCAACCTCTTTGCAAGCCCTGTGCAACATCCCTGGAAGAGGTGGCTGGAGCAGCCCAAGGCCCATTGGGGCTCTCTCACTGCTACAGCTGAAAGTCTTGCTAAAGCAATGGGGAAAAACTGCAGTAGGCACGCACAACTATCCCTCCCTCACTCCTGCCCTCTCTCCTTCCCTTCCTACCTTCCTCTCTGTCTCCATCCCTCTTTTCCCTGGGATAGCTCCCCCAGCCCAAAGGGACAGAGCCAGGCCCTCCCAGGACACACTGGAGCCTTGGCCTCCCCCTCTGCCCATTCCCCCACCATGGGCACCCCTTTGCAGTCGCTGCAAGGTTTTGGGATGTGTCTCCCATGGATGGACCCCAGCAGGACTGCTCAGTAGCCGAGTGTCCTGAGCCTGCTGGGGATAATTCCTCTGGGCTGTGCCGGTCTTGTCCAGGCTGTGCCTGCGCTGCCAAGCAGCAGAGATAGCAGTTCAAGCCTCAGCAGGGCTCAGGCCCAGAGGCACAGCAATTACCTCCTGGGACTGTGCCTGGCATGGCCTCCCTTCCTGCAGCAGAGGCTGCCCATGAGCCACTGCTTCCTCTGGGAAATGCTGCCTTCAGCACAGCCGCTCTGTCCACTTCTGCAGAAAGCAACAGCTGGATCAGATGGAACCGTTCCCTACTCGGGAAACTTCAGGAGGCAATGCTTGTCAACGGCAGGGATCAGGAATCCCTGAAAATTTTTTGGCATTGGCCAGTGCCTACCCTCATCTAAAGAGCTGCCCTTTCTGATCTACTCGGGGACCAAGAAATTGCAGGGGATCTCACTGCGTGCATGGCCCATGGTGCACTTTGGGCTCCCTGTCAGCTGATGCCAAATGCCTTCCTGCAGAGGCTGGGGAGAAGAGGCCAGGCTGGGAAACAGCCCTGCAGGCCGTGAAAGCAGCAGCAGGGCAGCGAGGCTGCCATGGATCCGCTTCCTGCTGTGCAAAGAAAGCCCCCGGCTGCTGAGTCTCAGGAGCAGGCTGAGGGACGTGGACCCACCTTGACCTCCCTGTGGCATTTTCTTTAGCATTTGTCTCATGCGTTTTGGTGGCACATGGAGTTTCTGCTGTCCTGCAGCTTTTTTCTTCCCACTTGGAGGACCTTAATAGAAAATAGTTCCATTACAGGAATGGATCCCAGAAAACCAGTGCTCAGCCTGTGGGGTCAGGAGGGACACACCACTTACCCCTGTGATGGGAGCTGGGCTTGCGTGCAGTAACCATCCCAGGAGCTGGAAACATCCTCCCTGCAGACACACCTGTAACTCAACAGCCACAGAAGCTTCTCTCATCTCTGCTGATCTGCACAGGCAGCACTGAGCGGCAGGGGCGGTGAGGGGATCACACAGGGCGAGGGCACACACGTGCACGGCTCTGTCCTGGCACCTGCAGCGATGCCACCCTGACCGAGCTTTGGGCTCTGAGCTGGCCGCTCCCCCAGGGGGAAAGGCCTTGACCTACCCTCACCATCTCCCTGAGCTTCAGTCCTGGATGTGGGTTGGGAAGCCAGATCACCTTCATCAAGAAGTTTGGCTGCAAGGAAAGGCAGGACAGAAGAGCTCCTGTGGATCTGTAGGAGATCCTCAGGCTCCCTGGGGCCAGCAAAGGAGCCACACAAGGCACAGCCCTGGGGAGCAGCCCTGGGCCTGGCCCCTTCCCTCTCTGCTCCTCTCCATGGCTGCACAGAGCACACAGAAGGAGACACTGGTATTGCATATGGGAAGAAGACTGACAGCTAAATGCTCCTTCCTCACACTGACAGCGATCCTGTGCGATCACTCAGGGCTCCAGAAGGGAGCAGGGAAAAATTTCCAGAATCCTTCAACCCTCAAGCTACCTTAATGGAAATGGCACATATGTGAGCACGTCCCACCTTGACAGATTATTCTGTCAGTAAAAGTGGAAATTCAGAATGTACCTCCAACATTCTCCAAAATTTTCAAAGTCTCATTCAACAGTGATCCCAAATAATGTAAGTCATGATCCCAGTCTAGAAGGAAGCACAGATCAGAACCATGTCCATGGTGTGCTGGGATCCCATTCTGCTTTAGGGAACTGGGCACTGCAAGGGGTTTGGGTAAGGCTGTGGGAGCCAGATGTCAATGGACATGGTCAAAGCTGCAGAGGGGCCTGGAGAACTCTGGGCTGGATCCTGGTCACTCTCCACCCTCTTTGCAGGCCCTGTGCAACATCTCTGGAGGTGCAACAGAACCAGCCCAGGGCCCCTGGGGACTCTCTCCCTCCCACAGAGGAAACTCTCCCTAAAGCCCTGGGGAAAACCATCCCCAGTTCTTCCCAGGGAGAAGGAAGTGCTGTCCCAGGAAAGGGAAGCCAGGCCGCCTGCTCACCTGCTCCCTGTGCTTGCTGTGGAGAAGCCTGGGCAGCCCTGTCAGGCAGGGCCACTGCCAGGAGGAGCAGGAGGAAGAGGCGCAGAGCAAAGGCCATGGTGCCTTGCCCTCTGCCAGTCCTGCAGCTCTTGCTGCCACCACTGTCCTGACACTGCTGTCCCAATGTCAGCACCGCTGCTGCTGCCGCTGCTGCCGCAACAGTCGTGGTCAAGGACTGACTGCTCGGTCCGTGTGATGCTGTGCAACCACAGGGCTCTGGGACCTCTGTGACCTCAGAGCCTGCTCTGACCTCAGCCTGCTGTCATCCCAGAGGCTGCTGTGACCTCATGGCCTTGGCTGTAGCCCCGGAATGTACTCCCATCTGTACTAGTGGACTGCTCTGACTGTGAATCTTTGACTTCATCAAAGGGTCTTTGCTAAACAAAATCTTGGTTTTGTCTGCTGACATTGCTGGTCAGGCTGTGTCCCTGGAGTTGCTCTTGATGGCTTCCCTGCTTTCCTGGATATCTTTTTTGAGGTGATCCATGCCCAGATATTCTACAGTAATAAACTGAATTACTGAATAACAGAATATGCTGAGTTCGAAGGGACCCACAAGGATCTGAAGTCAAACTCCTGGCTCTGCACTGAAGCATCCTCAAGGATTACACTATGTTCTTGAGAGTATTGTCCATCTGCATCTTGAGCTCTCTCAGACTTGGTGCATCTTTGGTGTGCCTGTTTCATGCCTGCCCAACCATGCTCTGGATATAAACCTTTTTCTAATATCCAACAGAAATCTCCCCTCACACAACTTCAAGCCATTCCCTATTGGCGATGTAAAAACACTCGCTCGCGGTGAGAGACTTCTCCAGGGTCAAGCTGTTCAAGTATAAGCAATTTATTATAAGGGTACAAGGAGGGGAGACCCATGTCCGCCACCAGCCTCGGCGTCCATGTGGTCCGGGGGAGGGGAGAGAGAGCAGGTAGAGCAGGGGAGGTGAGGTTGGAAGGGGGAGGGAGGGAGTAAGAGAGCAACAGAGGGAAAGAACAGGGAAGGCGAGACGGGTAGGAGCAGGGAGAGGGGGCTGAGAGTTAAGAGGGGGGAGAGGGGAACTGAGAGAGGGGTAAAGAGAGGAGGGAAGAGAGAAGAGTAAAGAGGTAAGAGGTAAGAGTAAAGAGTAAAGAGAGCGAAGTTCTTGTTACAATCCAATATATCTTTTTCTATCGTGAATATTCTAATTACCAGTAACCTATGAGACACACCCACTAAAGAATTTACATACAACCTATGGGCTTCCCTATATTAACATACAGTGTTGCATTTTATACTCTACAGAGCTTTACAAGTTCTTTCCTTGCTTCTTTACTTTTGGACTCTTCTTATCAGCAGGACATTGTTTTATCAACAGGGATTCTCATCTAGCTGGCTAGGCTATTGTTCTTTGGTTAACCAGTACTCAGTATCTTATAACTCAAAGCAGGCTTTCATTTCTACTTTGATTCTAGCCTTCATATTTTCACAATCTAGTGCCAAACAATCACATTCATAAGGTTTCCCTGTTTCACCTTCCCCAACAATTCCCTATCATTGGGTGACCAGAAAGAGATAAGTTCCTGCCTCTCCTCTTCCCTTCAGAAGGAGACCTTGTTGGACCAGTTGGAGATGTGATAAGCAAAAGACCCTTTTGTTCGTCTAAACATGTAGATACGATGCTTTGCAAAACAGTGCTTTGTGGAATCAGGATGAGGTTGAAGGTTGCTACTGACGCTTGCATAAATCACTAACGGCCTTGTGAGCTTTCTTGAATTCCAGAAAGTCACCAAAGATAAGCCTTAACAGAAAACAGTGAAGAAAGGTCAAAAGGATAAGATTGAGGAAGACCTATGATCTTCATCCAGCGACCACCAGAAGGCAAAAAAAGACCCCCTAAACAACCGGAGACACATGTGCAGAGACGCCAGAGAAAGGACACGTAACCCGGAAGCCGGGTTAAAAGGGGGAATACAGAAACCAGCGGCGCGGCAGTTTCGCGGAGCGGGAACTCTCCTGCTCCCCTGTCGCCCAGCACTGATCTATTGCTTATTGCTTGCTTGCTGTAATTAATAAAACTTTTCTCTGATTGAACCATATCACTCTTTATGAGTGAATTCATAACAAATTTGGTGCCGTGACTCAGATGCAATCTGTAGGACAGGTTCTTGGCACTACCAGGGGGGCGCCCCGCTAACATTTAGCGGCCCGGAGGACCGGTTTCTGCCTCGGTTGCACCGACAAACCTAAATTTAAGGCAATAAGCAAAAGGGAGACCGGTCGACCCCTTAAAATCTGTGCACAGAGTCCAGACGAAGACGCAGGACGCGTAAGTATTACGGGAACCGTTCAGTTGGGGTCGGGATCCCGGAGTGCGGCGAAGTGGTGTGTGTGTGAGAGGGGGACTGGTAGACGGATTCCCCAAGCGAGTGCGGACCCTCAGTAGTGCGGTTCCCGTTGGCCCGCGAGGGCGTGGGCCACGAACCAGGGGAAGTGAAAGAGGCTGTGTGATTTGAAGGCACTCCGGAAGAATGGGGCAGGGGAAGAGCAAGCACCCTGTATCTATTAAACTCCCACCGGTACCTAGAGATAGTCCGTTGGGTTTTATATTAGAGAATTGGGAGCATTTCCCCGGAACAGAAAATAAGGATAAGGCAAAAATGATTCATTATTGTGTAGAAGTATGGGGAGGAAAGGAAATTTCAAAGAATGTATTTTGGCCTATATTTGGATCAACCGAAGATTGGGTTAAACAAAAATTAAACTCCTGGGTAAATACAAAGATCCCCTTTAGCTCAGAGGAAAGTGCTTATGCAGAGATCTGGGTAGTAAGTCCCAAGGTTTTTATATTTGAGCTGACAGAGAACTCGGGGGAGGGGAAGGGAAAGAAAAAGAAACCCCGAAAAGAAGACACTTTGATAATGCCCCCCCCTCCATTTGTACCACCACGAGCCCCTCCCCCTCCGAATCCCAAGGAGGAGGATTTAAACATGCCAGATGTGGGGCCTGTTACCAGGAATAGATTCAGAAGGAAACAGGAGAACCTATTTCCATTAAGAGAGATGCCAATGGGTGGCCCCCAAGCTGGAATAGGGTTTATATCTGTCCCTCTTAGTTAGGGGGATGTTAGAGACTTCAAAAAGGAAATGGGGCATTTGTTGGAAGATCCATTGGGGGTTGCAGAAAGAGTTGATCAATTCTTAGGACCCAATATGTATACATGGGAGGAATTACAATCTATCCTGAATATTTTATTTACGGCAGAAGAGAAAAACATGATTAGAAGGGAAGGAATGCGCATTTGGGATGCTCAGCATGTCCAGGGACTACTGGCAGATGTAAAGTGGTCCCTCCAAAATCCCCATTGGGATCACCAAAATCCAGTGCACAGAGTAAATATGCAAGATTTGAGGACTATTATAATTCAAGGAATTAGGGAGGCAGTCCCAAGAGGTCATAATATAAATAAAGCATTCAATGAGAGGCAAAAGAAAGACGAAACTCCTACGGAATGGTTAGAAAGACTAAGAAAGAATTTTCAACTATATTCCAGAATGGATCCAGACACCCAATTGGGGCAAGCACTGCTTAAAGCACAATTTGTGGCAAAAGCCTGGGAGGATATTCGGAGGAGGATAGAAAAATTGGATGGGTGGCAAGACNAAGGCTATGCCCTTTAAGAGTAGAAGATGAAGACAAAATAAACTCAGAAGTGTGGTATACACCTGAGAGTGTGGGACGGTTGAGGATAACCCCATTCTCAGTCACTATTAAAAACCCAGAAATCCCAGTTAGAATAAAACAATATCCCTTGTCACTTGAGGGACGAAGAGGGTTGAAACCAGAAATTGACAGACTCTTAAGTAAGGGACTATTAGAACCATGTATGTCACCTTTTAACACACCCATACTGCCAGTAAAGAAGCCAGATGGGACTTATCGTTTGGTACAAGATTTAAGAGAAATTAATAAACGCACAGTAGCACAGTTCCCGTAATTGCAAACCCGTACACGTTACTAAGTAAGCTGGGACCCGACAGTTTGTGGTACAGTGTTATAGATTTAAAAGATTCATTCTGGGCCTGCCCCTTTGATGAGACTGGCCGAGATTATTTTGCATTTGAATGGGAAGATCCAGATACGGGGAGGAGACAACAACTGAGATGGACAGTATTGCCCCAGGGATTCACGGAATCCCCCAATTTGTTTGGGCAGGCATTGGAGCAGATTTTACAGGATTATCAGACAGACCCAGGAGTGACCTTGATACAATATGTGGATGACTTGCTTTTAGCTGGGAAAGAGGAAGAAGATGTAAGGAGAGAGAGTATTAAGTTGTTAAATTTCCTGGGTTTAAAGGGATTGAAAGTATCCAAGGCAAAACTCCAATTTGTAGAAGAAGAAGTAAAATATTTAGGCCATTACCTTAAAAAGGGGGAGAAAAAGATAGACCCTGAAAGGATACAAGGAATTCTGTCACTACCGGTTCCCAAAAATAAAAGGCGATACGTCAAATCTTGGGGTTAACAGGGTACTGTAGACAGTGGATTGAAAACTATAGCAGCAAAGTTAAATTTTTATATCACAAATTGACACAGGAGGGGTTAATGAAATGGAGTTCAGAAGACACAGAAAAATTCCGGGAGCTACAAGAAAGTTTAATTCATGCTCCTGTCTTGAGTATTCCAGATTTGAAAAGACCCTTTTATTTGTTTGTAAATGTGGAAAATGGAATTGCCTTCGGAGTCCTGACTCAGGAGTGGGCAGGGAGAAAGAAGCCGATAGGGTATCTATCAAAGATCTTGGACCCCGTGAGTAAGGGCTGGCCAACTTGTCTGCAAGTAGTAGCAGGATGTGCCCTACTGGTGGAGGAAGCTAGGAAAATCACCTTTAATAACAATTTGAAGGTAATGTCCCCCCATAACATTCGGGGTGTGTTACAACAAAAGGCGGATAAGTGGATTTCAGATGCTAGACTTCTAAAATATGAAGGAATTTTAGTTGAGGCCCCAAACTTAATATTAGAAACCACTACTTTACAAAACCCGGCTGCATTTTTGTATGGAGAACCCGAAGGTGAACCTTTGACACATGACTGTAGAACTACAATTGAGGAACAAACCAAAATTAGACCTGATTTGGAAGAAGAGGAATTAGAAAGCGGAGAAAAGCTGTTTGTGGATGGGTCCTCCAGAGTAATAGA